TACCATATAGATGTAACACACACACACACACACACACACACACACACACACACACACACACACACAGGGGTGATATTAACTGCAAATCAATAAATGCAAGTCTTATTCCATACATTCACATAAACACAGCATCTTTGACCCATAGAACCCCGCAGAACATGCATATACTCCTTATCCACATCTGTTGATTGCTCTGTGCTTCATGGGATTAAGCTTTAGAGTGTTTGCTGGGGAGCCAGTGAAAAAAAAAAAAAAAAACCTTGCTATCCCATCTCATTTATTCAATTGATTTATAGTGTATTTGTGTAAAACAGAAGTGCATGCATATAGGTTCAAATAAATTATTAATTAAACTGATTGCACGTTTTTTTTTTTTTTATCTGTGAATTTATCATAACATTTACATGCCCAGTATTTATTCTGGTTTAAAAATAAAAATCTTTTTTTTTCTTTTGTCATACTAATATAATAAAGTAGGTCTTACTGAGGCTGCTAAGTTGGCGTATGATGGCAGAGAGAGTGTTGTTGGTCACACACTCCAGCTCATTGCTGATGGTCTCAGGTAAAGCTCCTCTGCACAGGTGCCTGGGCTCAATGTTTCTCTTCACCAGTGGCATGACTTCACCTCAACACATGTACACAAACAAACCAGCACCTGTAAGGACACACAAACAGGATGACAATTAGACCAAATTTACTCACACCATCCATCGCACATCTTTCTCCATGTCACATTAGACTAACAGACTAATAGACTAAATATATGTACACTACAAATTGGAAGTCCTATTAAAAATCTGTTATATAAATTATATTAACTTGTCTTATATTAAGAACCTATTAATATAAGGCAATGATCATTACATAAAATCATGGGTTCAGCTGTTAAGTGGAAAACCATGAAGACTATGAAGTAGGACCATGAAGAAGAAGAGGAAAAAAGTATAACTATAGAACGACATCTATTAAAGAACTATAGACATTCCACCAACACACAAAAATATCCCAAATTCTTTGTTTTACTATTGTTTTATTAAAACCTAAGAAATACCCTTTGTCAAATGTTTTGCTTAATAAGTGTGCTGTCTTCGAATTAATGCATTGATATTTAAATATTTGCACGAGTGGCTGAAGTGTCCAGTATTTTGGTGGTCATTGTAGTTTTCTTATCAAAATACTCTTTTGCTATAAGTTTATATGTGGTCATGAATAAAATTTGTGTTTTGTTTATTTTAAATAAATAGTATCTAACTTGATTACGTTATAAATTGAAATGGCTAAATGGTCAATGATATATATTTGTATCAAGATTTATTTATTTACTTACTTAACCTGCAACCCCTTGTTTATTAAAAAAAATATATACTTATAATAATATATAATTAATAATATACTTAATAATACACTTAAAATTTACTGAAGTGCAGACAGAAAGTAATATTTTGGACAATTAATTTTATGTTAATTGCAATTAAATGTATTAGTTTATAAATTAGTATGATAGATTTACATTATATGCAATTTAGTTAGTCCAATTAGATCTTTTTTGACCCAATTAAGGAGGATTTTGAAGTGAAGTGAAGTGCAGGATGCAGGTTCACAGGGCTGGAGCCTAAATTAAAATATGCTTTAATGTAATTTCTATTACGTCTGTCATGTGTTTAAATATATTAGTAATTAGACATTTGTAATGATAAAATATATTAATTTTAAATGTAAAGCTCACTACAGTTAGAATTATAAAGTATTCTTGTTAGTCAATGCATCAAAAGAAGTGTACTTCTTTAAAGCACAACAAAAGATTGAGAAGAATGATTTAAAATGTACTTTAAAGTAAACTTTTAATTTGACATTACTACAAAGTGCACTTTAAAGGTCTACTTAAGTGTGTTAAAAAGTTATGAAAGTGTCTCTCTTTAAGTGCACTTAAATGGACAGTTTAACCAACTAACCCTGTTGAGGGTGAGTAAATGACAAAATGTACATTTTTGGGTGAATTGTCCCTTTAATGGTCTTTTATTCCACTTGTTATTTTATTTCATTAATATTACATTATTTGCCAGTATAGTTAAAGGGGTCATATGATGCAATTTCAAGTTTTCCTTTCTCTTTGTAGTGTTACAAGCTGATTGTGCATAGATAAGATCCCTGAAGTTGCAAAGACTAAAGTCTCAAAACCAAAGAGATATTCTTTATCAAAGTTAAGACTCTGCCACGCCCCCCTAAAACGGCTCGTTCTAACACGCCCCCACATATCTACCTCACTATGTGGAAATATTTGCGTAATGCCGCCCAAATGTGCACGCAAAGAAAGAAGGCGTGGTTTCAGTAACCGCAGTTAGTGTTGAAGCAGCATGTCAGGGAGACGCTGTGTGTTTCTAGGCGAAAGCAAAAGCACTTTATTTGGCCTTCCGGAAGTAGATGCATTTAGGAATCATTAAGATTACTTACAACAGAACAGCAATGCATTTTATGGACGACCGTTTCGTGAACCTAGGAGAGGAGGTAATTCTGACTTTGCTATGACAATCTGGCACTTCTGAATCAGCTACTGTTTTGTTATTAGTTTAAGTATTTGCTATTGACTGTTCAAATGCGGAGTTTTGCGATCGTGTGTGTGTGTGTGCGTGTGCGCGCGCAAAACATGTCAACATATTCTGTTACACCAAATACACAAAATAATGATCTTTAAAAAAGCATCATATGACCCCTTTAAAATACAAAAAAGATTTGAAGCACACTATAAGTTCACGTTGAGTACAATTAAGTGCACTTCTTTTTCACAAAGGATCCCCTATACTATTAATACTTATATTCTATAAACACCTTTGAACATAACAGCGTAACTTCAAAGGTTCCACATGTTGTTCGTTTCATTCTGTGGCCTACAATCCAGAAACGAGTAAGGTAACTGTGTGGCCTACAATCCAGAAACGAGTAAGGTAACTGTATGTCACCAGAAGATTATACAGGGGGAGGTTGGTGTTCCAGCCTCTCAGGATTAAGTTATTAGAGACACACACACACACACACACACACACACAATGCACTGCTCTCTGGATTACACCGCTTTCACTCACATTGACTTCCATGACACATTTAAGAGCATTCGTTCGTATTCCTACATTATTCTTTAATGCATGGAACCAAGAATGTGTGTAGAAATAATTTTCAGGTAAAACTATTAAATCCACCACATCTCTTGTAGCCAAGGGTCACCTTCCTGTAGAGCATGACTGTACTGAGGCATGTTTATTTCAATCATGGTTCAAGGTTTCCATTATTGGATATGTTTTATATATAATGCAGGCTTGAAATCACATTCCCTATCTCATTGTAGCTAAATTTAGGTTTCAGGTTTCAGGAGAAGCTAAGAGCAAACATAATTGGTCAGCATCTCTCTGTTAGCTACCAATCAGGCAGGCAGGGTTGTGGAAATGTCCATTAACTCAAATGGAAATCAATGGCTCACTACTCAACAGTGCTCCATTTCACTAGTAAAAGCACAGAACATAGCCTACATTATCACATTGTACTACATGACACTAATCATCTGTTAATGACTAAACAAATTAGAAAATAATATTTATAAGGTCTAAATTATTGAAGACCATGCTATATTTTACATAAATCATGACTATTATTATTTTTTTTTTTGTTGTTGTTGAAGTAATTGGAGTATAGCATGCCAACATCAACATCACACATATGATAACAATTAAGTACATAGTTTATATAATCATCAAAACATCACCATATCATCACGGTAAATTACCATGATACCACCACAGTACTTTTTGGGAATTGGAGTTGACTGAAACGCTGATTAATAACAAAGTTGAGGTTTTTAACTGTGAATGTGCAGTAATTAATATAAGGTCTACCATTAATGACGCGATGCTACATTGAATAAGGAGGAGTGCACTAGACTGCATTTGAGATTATTATAGGGGACTGTTAATCTACCAACCTACACTCTAAATAAACTATATAGACAAACTTAAACAAACGTAAAATTAAATATATTATACTAATGAAGCACTTAACAAAATATTGAGCATGTATTTTAAAACATGTTCGCTTACCAAACGTGGTTTGAATGCAGATATAATGATAGATGAAACGATCCGTCTGCCTGCGCTGTCATCAGAGCACAGTATTAGGGCGGGATTATTATGTTGATGGGCAGTTCTGTGCACCAATCGCATTTCAGCATCTGGAACGTTTTTTTGGGATTAAAACTGTGAGAGCCAATAAAATTAGTCCATAATTGCAAACAAGCAGTCATGGGTGGATAAGGAGAAGCGCCGGGTTGTAACGTGACAGTTTCAGGTGGGATATAAACAGTCGAATACACAAATTCTTTCGTTATAAAGTATCTACCAACACACTCTAAAATATGTTTTCTTGAAATGTCTTAACTGCTTTGTTATGAATGTTACCTTGATTATTGTAGTTATTACCAATCGTAGTGTTTATAGGTCCTTGATTCACTCACTGTTGTTTTATATTTTGCCCTGCAGTAATAGCTGTGATGTTTGCACACACTGCATCTCTGACTCCTCCTCTTCATAATCACACAGAAGTCCAGATCAATATTTTCAATGTCATTCAAATGTAGGGCAGAACTAAATGTTAACATGTTAACAACCACAGCTTGTTGTTTATGAAACAACCTTTCATAAATATGTTAATATTCCTAATAAAATATATATATAACTCAGATTTTTACTTGCATATTTATACTATAAAACAGGGAATATTATAAAGCTATTGATTGTAAGGGAATTATCCATTAACTGGGATATACGGTTTCTTGTATGATTCACTTCAAGTCTCCCCTACAACGTTGCAATTGGACAAACTGGAATACTGGACTTGGCCATTCCAAAATCCTTTATTTCAGAGAGCGAGCACCAGTGTTGGGGGTAACGCATTACAAGTAACGCAAGTTACGTAATCAGATTACTTTTTTCAAGTAACTAGTAAAGTAACGCATTACTTTTTAATTTACAAGAGAATATCTGAGTTACTTTTTCAAATAAGTAACGCAAGTTACTTTTATTTGTTTTTTCCAATTTATTGACTGACAGCTCTCCTGTCCCCATGTTGAGAGAAATCAGATGTTACTGTAGTTCTAAAATAAATATGAATATGCATTAATTCATCTCACTCACAAAAAAACAACAACAAAAAACAACAGATTCAGTATTCCTCAAAATGAATAAAAATAATGCAACTCAGAATATGACGCAAACCTGCAATAATTAAATGTTAAACAACACAAATATCCTTTATGTATTTAATCTCATTCTATTTGCTTCTGACCTTCGATGATCCAGTTCAACCGTACTAATAAGCAAAAATGACTCTAGACAAACATTCGTGTGTCTTTTTTTATTGCTGAAGTGTGTTGAAATTTCTTCTTCTGCATTCTACTGTACGGACTTAAATTTACTTTCCCTTCAGCCTGAGGCTTATTCATGCACTTTTGGTGTGAAAAGGCTTTTATATTTGCCAAAAATATAACTTTTTTATTTTAAAAACAAACAAGCAAGCCCTGTCCAGATTTAAAAAGTAACGCAAAAGTAACGTAACGCATTACTTTCCATAAAAAGTAACTAAGTAACATAATTAGTTACTTTTTTATGGAGTAACGCAATATTGTAATGCATTACTTTTAAAAGTAACTTTCCCCAACACTGGCGAGCACTTTGTCCTTTATGAACTCTCATGACCACATTTGTGCAGTTTCTTCCAGAGCTGCCTGTAGATCCTTTGAGGGCACTTTGTGGTTTTTGGAGACTTCATCCCCAAACGAGAACGGTTCTTGGAGAAATTGTGGATTTTAAATTTCTTGCAGCATCATCAGACTCACCAGTCTACTTCGAAGGGTCTCAGGATCATATTGGCAGGGCTGTCCTTAGCTTATGCGGGGCCCGGTGCGAGGTAGGGAGCGGGGCCCTCCTTGGTCCATTCGTGATCGCGTTTGGGCGGTTTCATAAAATGCTTAAACTTATTTTGAAAAAAAAAAAAAAGTCTCTGATTTCAAACATTGAAACACTTTTATTATAATATGGTTACGTCTAATTTAAACTTTGTTGTTTTTAAATGAGTTCAAGTAGTTTATATTTATCCAAAGAAAATCATTGTATAAATTGTTGTGAAAATCCAGTTATTTATTTACCACAGTCTGTTCAACGTAAAATTAAGCTGTATAGATATTAAATAGATCCTTTAATAGATATTTACGCTCACTTCCACAAACCTACAAAGCCATTCTACAGCATGGGTTGAATTATGTGATAGTATGTCTATTTCATTGTCCAGTAAAGAACCCGTTCCCTTTAACCACAGGAAATCATATACAATTAAAAATCTAGTTCTACTACTAGTTCTAGATAACTAGTTAAATAGTTGTTCTACAATTTATTTACAACTCTTTTTATCAATCCATAAATCAGAAAAAAATAGAATTTTCATCATGTTTTAGGAATAAAGTGTTATATGAAACAGGTCAATGATACATGAAACAATTTCTTGGTAAAACCTTCAGAATATAGATAGAAATAAAACAGAAAGGTCTGGTGTATGTGAGTGCTGCTAAAGTGGATATTTCTGATGTGTTTTTTTTTATTTATTTTTTTTAGAAAAAGGCCTCCCAGTCCCAGGGCGCAGCATTACAGTGTTATTTGTGTTCTATTTTAAATTTGAGACAAATAGAGCTGAATGTTTTGTCTCATTGATTTTCAATTTGCGATTTCCATGTCAGTGATGTCAAAGACTGAGTTTGAACCTCGAACTGAAACCACACTCAAAATTAAACTTGGGAAAGAAAAACAGACACGTGACATTCATTTGACTGATTAGTGATTTAAAGGAAGAAACGGATGGTGTCACATTTACAAATGAAAATCTGAAGGAGGCATCTAGGTTTATTTAGAACAGACAACTGTTTTCTTATTCATCTGAGATGTGAACAGGACAGTAAAAGGTTATATACATTGCTATTAAGTCAATACACTGTCAGCTATGATCAAAGTCAATTTGAATTTCAAACAGCAGCTAGCATTTATATTGCGAATATCTATATTAAACAAAGAATAAGACTGTTTGTTCATCCAGCTTTACAGCTTGCATCAGTAACGATAATAAAACTTTTAACTGCAACCTTTGTATATCAATATGAGAGAGAATAATGCCATTATATGATGTAGAAAGAGAGGAACAAGGAACTGGTTCAGACAGCCAGTTTATGTATTTAAAAAAAAAAGACAGATTATAAAGGATTTTTTTGTTGCTGTAATAACCCAAAGAAATTCAAAATCACTGAATGTAAATCCTGTAGGAATGGTATTGTTTGATCGCTTAAACAGGTTGATTTATGCAGGTTTACACTAAAAATAACATAAAACAAGTTAGTTTTCAAAAACGCTAATTCGGAAGTCTGCAATAATTTTTGTGTGGCCTCTGTATGTATAAATAAAATAAAATTACTAATTTACAAACTGGCAACCTGTCCGTATTGCACATAAATGGTGACAACAAGAAATAGTCCACCCAAAATTTTGAGAATTCTGTTACTATTTACTCACCATCATTTTGAGTTTTTTTTTTCTTAGTGAAACACAAATGGAAAAATTTAGTAGAATAAGTATTTAGCAGAATTTAGTAGAAGCTGACCAAGCTCCCAAAATGACAACCAATCACCATTAAATTAATCCACGTGATTAATGTGCTATATTCTGCATCTCATGAAGTCATATGACAGCTTTGTCAAAGCAGAATTTAAAGGGATAGTTCAACTAAAAATTTCAATTGTTATCATTGACTCACTATCATGTCATTCTAAACCCATAAGACTTTCATTCATCTTCAAAACACAAATGAAGATATTTTTAATGAAACTTAACACTGTCCCACAATTGAATGTCTACTGACCCAAAACTTTGAGTTTCAAAAAGTTCTTCAAAAGGTCATAAAAGGAATCCATGTGAATTGATCAGTCTAGTCTTCTGAAGAGACACAATCACTTTATATAACAAACTGGTTTAATTTAGGCTTTTATTCATGTATAAACTTTGATAAACACATACATGAGCACATCAAAATATGGTAAAAGAAAACTCAGTTATACTTGCTTGACACGAAAGAATCAGTGAGGTTTGTTCATACGCACCATGTGAGTACAGTTGAGTTTACCATATTTTGATGTTCTCTATGTATGCGTGTATGAGAAAAAGCCTAAATTAAGTCTGTTCATCATATAATTCAATTCTTCAGAAGACTTCGATGAAACTAAATTTTATTTTCTGACTGATTTTGCTTTTATTATGTCTTTTTTTTATGTTTTTAATGCATTAAATTGTTGGTTGCATGGACTTTCAACAGATGAGAGAACATTTGAAATATCTTCATTTGTGTTCGAAGATTAATGGAAGTCTTGTGGGTTTGGAATGACACAAGAGTGAGTAATTGATGAAAGATGGTTTATTTTTGTGTGAACCATCGTCATTCAACGCAACGCAACTTTAAAATCTCATTTGTACTTCCACATATTCAGGCTTCACACGTGTTGTTGTTGTCTTGTAGAACAGTGTTTTGCAAGTCTCCCTAATCAAGCACAACTAATCAGCTTATTGCTAGAAAGTGTTGTTCATGGAAGAAAGAAATCCATATTGGTTTACAATGACATGAGGGCGAGTAAATTATCTGTTCTAATTTATTTATGGACGGACTATTTTGTTAAAGGGATAGTTCACCCCAAAATGAAAATTCTGTCATTAATTACTCACCCTCATGTCGTTCCAAACCCGTAAGACCTTCGTTCATCTTCGGAACACAAATTAAGATATTTTTGATGAAATGTGAGAGCTCTCAGACCCTGCATAGACAACAACGCAACTGAAATGTTCCCAGGTCCAGAAATGTAGTAAGGACATCGGTAAAACAGTCCATGTGACATCAGTGTCTCAACTTCAGTTTTGCGAAGCTACGAGAATACTTTTTGAGCGCAAAAAAAACAACAAAAATAACAATTTATTCAACAATTCTTCTCTCCCAAGTTACGTCTTCTGCCATTTTAGAGAGTATAACAATGCATACGCACGCTTTCCCCTAAACGTAAACAACGCTGATTACGCAGATTACGTTCATGTGCGCGTTCTCT